AAGACTGCAGACTGAGTGGCTTAAACAGCAGCAGTTTCTCACAATTCTGGAGGCTGGAAGTCCAGGATCAGAGTGTCAGCGTTGTGGGTTTGGTAGGACTCTCTAGGTGGTTTGCACACAGCCGTCTTCCTGCTTGTGTCCTCTCTTCCCTTCCACCCCCTTGTGAGTGAGGTCCCCTGTCTCACTGTGGGCCCTACTCTCACGGCCCATCTAAGCTCAGGCACCTTCCAAAGGCCCTCCCTCCTGACAGACGAGTCTGGGGCGACACAAACCTGCAGTCCACAGTACCGTTCTGGGAGGACTTCCTGGCATTGTCCTTCTGGGCTCTCTTTTCTTCCTTCTGCATTTTCCCCTTGTTTCCTGGATCCTGTGTCATCTTTCCAGACTTATCCCCTATGTTCTGGGTGGGCACATCCACTACCTGTTTCTGGGGAAAGAATGGATGCAAGGTGAAATGTGAGTCCTTGAATTCCTGGAAGTGTTTCTTCCCTCTTACTTGATGGATAGTTTGGTTGGGAAGAGAATTCTGTATGAGGAAAGAATTTTCACTTCCCACTTTTGAAGGTGGGAACTAAATTATTCTCTAGTTTTGTGTATGTTTAGTGCCACTCCAGTTTCTGAATTATTTATATGCAGCCTTTTTTTTCTCTTAATAGTTTTACCTGTAACGTTCCCAATCTGTATTCTGTTCTGGGCACTTAGGATTCAATCCAGGCATCTGAGCACTTTCATTTTAGACCCTGTTTTTGTATTTTCTTCCCCATGTGCTTTCTCTTTCTAGAATGAATACATTTCTCTCCTGTGTTCCATTTTTGTTTTGGTTTTTCTATTTTCTGGTGTATTCTTCAATTTTATCTTTAAACTCTACTCTTTTTGTTTTGCTATTTTATTTTAATTTCAAGAGCTTATTTGTTTTCTGATTGTTCTTTTCTACAGTATTCTATTTTTGTTGTACAGATACAGTAGCTTCTCTTTGAATACCTTGTAGTTTTTGTTTTGGTTGCAGAGTTTTTCTTCTCGTCCCATTGGAACCCTCTTTCAGTTGCCTGATGGTCTTGGCTGTTGACCGTCACTTGAGACTGAAGCATTGAAAAACTTAAGTGGAAGCTCTGGAGGCAAGATTTTTTTTAACTAGTATCTTTGCTGTCTCCCTGGTGGTTCAGATGGTAAAGAATCTGCCTCCAATGCAGGAGACCTGGGTTCAATCCCTGGGTTGGAAAGATCCCCTGGAGAAGGAAACGGATACTCACTCCAGTATTCTTGCCTGGAGAATTCCATGGACAGAGGAGCCTGGCAGGCTACAGGACAGGACTGAGCAACTTTCACTTCACTTCCCCCTGTTGTCAGCTTTGAACTTATCTCTACCCAGGTGTTCACATTTCATTTTTGGAGAGATTGAACTTAAGGCTTATGTGCTTATCAGTGAAGTAACCCCAGAGGAATAAAGAAAGCTAACCTATAGACAGGGAAATTCAGGGATAACTACTGTAAATGATTTATGCATTAAGAAACCACCAGTATTTGCTCCTCACCAGTGCTAGTTTACTTGGAACAATCAACAGGCAACTCTACATGAATTCTGGCCAGAGACCCATCATCTAAATGCCAGAGTGACTGGGAGCGAGTTTCTAAAGATGTTGGGCGTCTGCAACCAACGGCTTCCCTCCGCTCCTGAGATGTTCTGTGGGAGGAGCTGTGGGGCTGTACCTGCTCCGTGTTCCCCGCCCTTCCTCTCCCTGCTCGGTGCTCGCCGCCCCTCCTCTCCCTGCTCGGTGCTCCCCGCCCCTCCCCACTCTCCCTGCTCCGTGTTCCCCGCCCCTCCCCACTCTCCCTGCTCCGTGCTCCCAGCCCCTCCACTCCCTGCTCTGTGCTCCCCGCCCCTCCTGTCCCTGCTCCGTGCTCCCAGCTCCTCCTCTCCCTGCTCCGTGTTCCCACTCCCTCCTCTCCCTGCTCCGTGTTCCCAGCTCCCTCCTCTCCCTGCTCGGGTGTTCTCAGCTCCCCCACTCTCCTTGTGCTCAGCCCTGAAGCTCCCCCACCCCCTACCTTTTGCAGCACCAGTATCTTTTCCCAGGGTTCTCAGGATTAAATAAACTGGCTTATCTTCAGAGCAGTCTGTTAGGTTTCAACTTCCTTCATGCTCCATTTTCTCAGAATTTGGGGACATTTCCTGTCTACTGTGTCTGTGTTTGTGACCCCATTCTCTTGGTCCTTACAAGTTTATTCCTTTTGCATTTCTTTATTCTCTTTTAAGAACATTTGGGAAGGAGATTCTTGTGGGTTCTACCACTCATATTTTAGCCTTAAGCCTCAGATTTATATTTTAAGAGGACTGGTTTTGGTACTGTGCAGAATTGAGGAAAAAACAGAATTCTGTGAGGAGGCCAATTGGGAGACCGAGACATCAGCCAGCAGGGTGGGAGCAGAGCAGAGTTGAGACGCCCGTGCAGATAGGGTTGGCAGTGCAGGGTGAGGAAGGAGCTCACCTGCTTCAGAGCATCCTCAGTGTTGGAAAGCAGCTTTTATGGCCAGGCTGATGGCCTGCTGTGTCTGAATTCTTGAAGATGTAAAAGGGACCTTTCCAAAACAGTCATGGTTCTTCGCGCTCATTTTCAAAACTTTGGAAGTTATAAGCAGACAAAATGGAAATAATTTGTAATTATAACAAATATTTAAAGTCTCTGCCAAAATCGTTAGGAAACCTTCCATCATATAGCTTACAGTGGTGACTGTACTTTTCCCTGACCTCAGAGCATTGGGTTTGCCGAGTTCTTTGCTGTGATGAGGATGTTGCTTGACGTTTGAGTGACTCTTCTCATGAGGTGGAGTCCTCAGGAGGAGGAAGTGGGGTCAGGTGTCTCGCCTAGCTAATTTGATGTTGTAAAGGCTGACCTTGTTAAAACTGTAAGAATAACCTCAAGTTATTGGGACATATAGGGGTTAGGGTCAGAGGAAGGAAATAATTGAAGGTATTTGTTTCTTATCTTTAGCATCTGCAAAGGGTTTTCCCCAGTGTTTCTTCATGGTTTTGAATCCTCAGAGGACACTCACTTGTCACCTTGGAGCCATGTACTTCTTCCCCAGAAATTAGCCCAACTAGAAAATGAATGGTGAAAATACTTTCAATAGGAATTTCATTAAAGTTCTTTTGTTGTGACCTGTCTAAAGAGTGAAACTAAAAGCAAGTTAAATTCTTATGGTCCTTATGATCATCATCCAAACCTTGTCACTTTTCTTGTTTATCATTCTGTGGCCTGTCTATCCAGGCTGGAGGAGTTCAAGCATCAGTTACTGCAAGCCATCTCAGCAAATCAGGTCATTTACTAAGTTGGGTGTTTTAAGTAATTAAGTGCTGTTTGTGCTAAGAGAAACAGCAAGTGGGCACTTGCACACATGTGGGTGAGCACCCTGCGTGCCTGCTGCTCAAGTGAGAAGGGTGGTTCTCTCTCCAACATTAGAGACACACTCTCTGCTTCCTTTTCTTTCTTTCTTTTTTCGCTTGACTACCTGTTCCACTTAACTGTAACATTTGGAAATTATTTCAGTGGATAATTCCATGTGCACACGCACTTTGTATGCTGATTGTAGATGACAAGGAGAGCACAGTCGGAAATGATGAGTTCCAGGCTGGCTGCCTGTTCCAAGGACAGGATGTAGGTGGTCCGCGTCCAGCAGACTCAGGGCTCCAGGGAATTGAGCCAGTGGGTGTGCGCAGAGCCCCTGCTCAGCACCAGGAGCATTACATGTGTGCCTTTTTCCCCCCTGCTTAAGCCATTCTTTGAAAGTATTTCTCTTTTTTTTACTCTTATTGGCTTCATTTATTGGTAGCCTGTGGTAATTGTATAGAAAAAGAAAATGCGGTGTAAAAATATTAATCTGTATTTTTCTATTATAACTTCAGTGGCTCAAGAAAAAAAAAAGTCAAAAATACAACTGTCCAGAGGCAAATAAACTCTTGATCCAAATCCATGTACCCTTGTCAAGAGTTAGTTTTTACTAACATGTTCAGAAAAACAAAGTTGAGCCACAGATGAAACAAAGGCTAGGTTATCAGGTACCAGCTGCAAACATTATTTTTACTAAAACATTTTTTGCAAATTTTTAAATTATTGGTTCTAGAAGGCTTTGTAAAGGTCATCATTCTGTTGCTTGAATGTACTGGATAATTAAGTATATTCCCTATCTAGCTTGAGGCAACAGACCTTGTTTTGGCTGAAGGACCTCACACTTTTGTTTCCCCAGCCAGTGTCCTAAGACAGGGAGAGCAGGTGGGGTAACGATCCCCCTTGCCTTGCCTGCCCTTCAGCTCTGCACTGGTGCTTAAGACCTGGTGGCCAGCAAGCCGGCCCTCTCAGGCCTGCCTCGGAACACACAGATGATTAAGGGACTCTCAGAGTGTGGTCCTGGCAACCTCGCTGACCCTTGGTTTTACCACAGCATGCCCTGCCAAGTGGCAGGCCTCTTTCTGCGTGTGGCTGGGTGGTTTTCTTTCTGCTCAGCTCCCTGGAAGCAGCATTTGTCTGTGCTCGGCTCATTCTCCTGGAGTTCTCCTTTTCACCCCACTGATAGCGGTGTATTCCTGTTTCGATGGCAGTTCCTGTGAGTGCCAGTCTTCAGGGAGGGGACCTTGGCTCTCTGGTCCCCTTCCCAGGTTTGGTGGGGGCTAAAGCTGGTGTTCTCTTCCAAGTATGCTGAGTTGGTGCACTGTGAGCTCAAGATTGTACTTTTACTTTATGAAAAAACTTTTTTTCATAGTTCTATTTGCCTACATAATTGTATTGACCAACTTGGTTATTGATGAAGTCTTGTTTCTATAAGCAGTGTACTATTCTTCTACTCTCACTGGACTGCTGTATTTTGAGCTTTACCTAGAATCTTAGGTATGCTCTGACTCATTTAGAAAGATTTATAATACAGAGTATGCAGATATATAAGAACGTACAAGAAGGGGGGGGGACACTCAGCCACATATTACTAATAGAAATCTTATTTATTTCCTCACAGATGCAGCAGCTTTTTTATGAGAACTATGAACAGAACAAGAAGGGGTACATTAGAGATCTCCATAACAGTAAAATTCACCGCGCCATCACACTGCACCCGAACAAAAACCCACCCTACCAGTACAGGCTTCACAGCTACATGCTCAGCCGCAAGATCGCTGAGCTTCGCCACCGTACCATCCAGCTGCACCGTGAGATTGTCCTGATGAGCAAATACAGCAACACCGAGATCCATAAAGAAGACCTCCAGCTGGGAATCCCTCCTTCCTTCATGAGGTTCCAGCCCCGCCAACGAGAGGAGATCCTGGAATGGGAATTTCTGACTGGGAAATACTTGTATTCAGCTGCTGACAGCCAGCCCCCTCGAAGAGGAATGGACTCCGCACAGCGCGAGGCCTTGGATGACATTGTCATGCAGGTCATGGAGATGATCAACGCCAATGCCAAGACCAGAGGGCGCATTATTGATTTTAAGGAGATACAGTATGGCTATCGCCGAGTGAACCCCATGTATGGGGCCGAGTACATTCTGGACTTGCTGCTTCTGTACAAAAAGCACAAAGGGAAGAAGATGACGGTCCCTGTGCGGAGGCACGCGTATTTACAGCAGACCTTCAGCAAGATCCAGTTTGTGGAGCACGAAGAGTTGGATGCAAAGGAATTGGCCAACAAAATCAATCAAGAATCCGGATCCTTGTCCTTTCTCTCAAATTCCCTGAAGAAGCTTGTTCCCTTTCAGCTTCCTGGGTCCAAGAATGAGCACAAAGAACCCAAAGAGAAAAAGATCAATATACTGATTCCTTTGTCTGGACGGTTTGACATGTTTGTGAGATTTATGGGGAACTTTGAGAAGACGTGCCTCATTCCGAATCAGAACGTCAAGCTCGTTGTTCTGCTCTTCAATTCTGACTCCAACCCCGACAAGGCCAAGCAAGTTGAACTCATGAGAGACTACCGCATTAAGTACCCTAAAGCTGACATGCAGATTTTACCCGTGTCTGGAGAATTTTCAAGAGCTCTGGCCCTAGAAGTGGGATCGTCCCAGTTCAATAATGAATCTTTGCTCTTCTTTTGTGATGTTGACCTTGTATTTACTGCAGAATTTCTTCAGCGATGTCGAGCAAATACAGTTCTGGGCCAACAAATATATTTTCCAATCATCTTTAGCCAGTACGATCCAAAGATTGTTTATAGTGGGAAGGTTCCCAGTGACAACCATTTTGCCTTTACTCAAAAAACTGGCTTCTGGAGAAACTATGGGTTTGGCATCACTTGTATTTATAAGGGCGATCTCGTCCGAGTAGGTGGCTTTGATGTTTCTATCCAAGGCTGGGGGCTTGAGGATGTTGACCTTTTCAACAAGGTTGTCCAGGCAGGTTTGAAGACATTTAGGAGCCAAGAAGTAGGAGTTGTCCATGTCCACCATCCTGTCTTTTGTGATCCCAACCTTGATCCAAAACAGTACAAAATGTGCTTGGGGTCCAAAGCGTCAACATATGGGTCCACACAGCAGTTGGCTGAAATGTGGCTAGAGAAAAATGACCCAAATTATAGTAAAAGTAGCAATAATAATGGCTCAGTGAGGACAGCCTAATGTCCAGCTTTGCTGGAAAGGACATTTTTTAATTAATCTAATTTATTTTTCAAAAATTTTTTTGTACGATCAGTTTTTGAAGTCCATACAAGGGGATATATTTTACACATGGTTTTCTTACAAAGGACTCCTTGAAGATTGAGCTTTTTGAACAAAAATGTGATCATGTTTGCCTTTTGAACACATTTTCTTGCTAAACATTATGTAGCAGACATGCTTAATTATGACTTGAAATGTACCTGAGGAGCAAAACTTTTTTTTAATATTTCTTTTTCAGACCTCTTTGCTATAGTCCTATGGCAGAAAACATGAACGTTACTGCAAAGTATTATTGTAACAAAACACTGTAACTCTGATAAATGTTTTGTTTTGACTGTTAACTTTGCACAGATTCTACCTTTTGTCTTTTTTACAACATTTTTTTTAAGCCATTTCATGTTCCGGTTGTCAAATATGGAAATGTGATAGTAACTGTGTCATCATCCTCAAGAGCTTTCCATATGTGGTTGTTTCCCCAAAACTTGTCTCATTTTTCAAAACAGGGGAAGCAGGAAAACATAATAAGATAGACGGCTGTTCTTATTGCAATTAGTGTGGCCTGATGGACCTGGCATTAGATTTCAAGAAGGGTCTGGCACTTTTACTTCTCCAGACCCTTCTTTTTAAAAGATAAAATATAAATATTTAGAATGGCAAAGAATTATTACCATAAATCTAATGTATGCAAGGTTAAACAAAATAAACAGAACTTAACCCTAATGAAAGCATTGGGGGGAAATGTATCTGATTTTGTTCACTTCATCCTATCTGTGTTATGTTGACGGAGATGGGTGTCTCATTTTTAATTACTGTTTTGTTCTATCCTTTGTATCTGAAATACCTTTAATTTATTTAATATCCATTGTTTAGAGCTCTACCATTTCCCAAGTACCCGTTAGTTATTAGTATTTATGTGTATAAGGAGTGTTTAGTATATTTTATTTGCAGTAAACTGATCTCCAAAGATTTCTTTTTAAAAACTCTTCCCTGTCCTCAATTTTTACATTCCTTACTGTTTTACTAAATATTGAGTGTTCTTTGATAATCCTGGTGCTCATGTGTTTTGGGGACAAAAGTGAAATGAATCTGTCATTACACCAGAAAGTTTGTTTTAGACTCACAGAACAAATGTGCCTTAATAAATTTTTTTTTTCATTTAGATTTCAAACAGTAATAGTTTTGTCATTTTAATATACATCATTGGAGATCTGCTTATTTGTAAATAGCCTCTTGCTCATTTGGAAAAATAAACCAGTGGACAATATTTTTCTATTGTACTTTTCAAAACCATTTTGTCTCATTACTCCTGTTTTAGCTGAAGAATTTTATTACATTTGGATAGTAAAAACCTTAAACACTGACTCATAAGGTTTTTCAAGTTATTTGAGGGAAATATTTATGTGCACTGCAGTTGGGAATGAAATGAAACTTTCAAGTGCCTCTTTCTTTTTTTGCTGGAATGAATGCGTCATCTTATGTTGTTCTTAAAGAACTTGCTGAATCTGTGTTTTATAGAACAAAGGTCTTCAAACCAGATCCAGGCCCCCTCTGGCTTCTTGATATAAGTGTATCTTTCAGGGAGCCTTAGTGAACCTGCTAGGCCCCTTAGAATCTGCATTTTAACAAGTGCCCACTTGCTGGTACTGTGCATAAATGTGCTCAGGATTTTAGGGTGGATCTAGCTACAGAATAAATTGCCCACAGTTCCCATATAATCTAAGAATCAAACAAAGTAAGATCTTTGACGCCAAAGCAGCAAGCTTTGTGGATGTCAATTACACTCCCCGGACAGGTATTTACCATGTAATGACAGTGAAGATCCAGGATAATGACATCGTGCTCACAGTAGGAATTGCTGTCCTTCAGCCTAATTGCCATTTACTTTGTGGGAGTAGTTAGTTTTTCCTTGGAAAAAAGCACAGACATTTTTATTCTTCAGTAAGGAAGAGCATAGTATACATTCTGATGACAAAGTCAGTTAAATTCTCTCCTGTTTATCATAATAGGGAATTATAGGACAGAGTGTGAGCAATTGCTTTGTTGAGCCTCAGTGGCTATCAGGTGTCCCAGTGATCCTTTAACACCGGCCACTTCCTTCCCTAATTTCATTCTTGCCCACATCTGCTCCTCTTCCTGACATCAGTGTTGATGGAGGTGCTACCCTCCCTTCATCAAGACTGTCTCTAGAGATGCCGTTGGAGCCTTTCACTCCCCTGGCATTGCCATGCCTGAACTCGGTACCCCCGGCCTGTGGGCTCACGCTCCAGTTGGACACACCCTCTTTCTAAAGCACCCCTCCAAATCAGCAGCTCTGGTTCCCCCTGCTGCCCAGAACGAAGACTCTGTAGGCCCCTCATGGTGCCACCTCCAGCCCAACAGTCTTTGTTCATGAGGACGTCAGTCTCTGTCCGCCTGTGCTTTCCCGCTGCCTGGAGTGCTCTCCCTGCCTCACCGCTGACTCGTCTTCCAGGAGACTCTGAAACTCCCCGTGTCCACCCTGGTGTCATGTCAGGCCCTCCCAGGGTGGATGTGACACAGGTGGACAGTCTCCCTGGACCGCAGTCCTGGGTCTCTTCTAGGCGATGACTGCGCATGCCGGGACCGCGTCTGAAGAAGCCTGCGGAGCCCCATGCTGCCCGGCCCTCCGTCTGTGCTCCGGTCCCCACCACGCATGCCTCCTGGCAGACGATGCCTGGTCCTGCCTGCCCATTGCACAGCCTGCCCCACACTCATGACCTACAGATGAGTCCTTCTTCCCTGAAACTTGGAATGCTTTCTGGTTAGAACTCTGTTTCACTTGTTACTTTAGACTTTCTCTTAGCTTGTGTAACTGCTTTAAACACAAGAGAAGAATTCAACTGAAATGGCCCATGAACCCCAAACCAGATAACTCCTGTTAAAAATTAAGGATAATATGTGAAAGTCGTAAGGGGGGTGGATCACAATGCACAAAGATGTGCACAACTTCCCTCCTTCCTCCAGCCAGCCTTCAGGCCCTTCCTGCCAAGAACCACCAGGTTTGTGGGGTTCTGGTACAAAAGGTAGGATGAATTGTGTAATAGGCTGACACTGGTAGCATTTAAAAAATTCACTTAAACGGATAAGGGAGGGCACATTCTTGCTTGGATCTGTGCCAGCCTCTGTTGCCACGAGCAGACTTACGGACTTGTGTTTGGAGGAAAGCAGGCTGGGTGGGCTGCCCAGGTGTGGCTGCCCGTGTGGGAGGTCTGCCCAAGTGGAGGCTGGAGAGCCTGTCTCAGGTCAGACGGTGCAGCTGTTACGTTTGGAGGGCCGCATCGCTTTCCCAGCACTGTTCCTCTGAGCCAGTGAGAGAACATGCACCACAGATCTTAGCATGCGGGACTTTGGCTGGAGACAGGCCACGTGTCACACGGTGAGGCCATGCGGCAGCCCTGTTGGCACGAGGGAGGCGCCATCTCTCTCAGAGCCTGAAAGCAGAAGGCCTGGGTGGCAGTCCTCTCCAGGGCCCTTTCTGAGCCCAGACACAGGAGCCACGACCCTCAGGAGCTGGTCTGTGTCCCACTGCCCCAGACACCATCATCCCAGCGGTCAAGCTCCTGATAACTGCGGGCAAGTCTGCCCTCATCTCCTTTCTGCCCAGCGCTCTGACCACATCCGTTTCACAAGGCCAACCTGATGCAACTGGGGCAGAGCAAAACATGCAGCGCAGACAGCAGACTGGGGACCTTGGCTAATACTTCTAACACAACCTTTGTCATGATGTGTGACTGAGCTAAGTGACAAGTCACGTTTCACTTCAGTTCTCAGCACTTGAAAGGTCACCTAGAGGCTCTGGTGTTGTCTGCAGCCACCTTCATGCAGTGTGTCCATGGGGTACCAGTGAGATGTGGTCTCCACACCATCCCCCAAGGTTAAGAGAACGGTGGGTTTACAGAAGCTTTTCTCGCCTTGCAAGTCCTGTCCTCCGGGAAGACACTTTGGACTGCCTGCCCACTGGACAGCTTGCCAGTGGCTGAGGGGCTCCACCCAGCCCCAGACTTCCAAGATCTCCTTATGCTTCCTTGTCATGGGAGGAAGCAGGTGCCAGCCCTCCCTGGAGGGTTTCAACTGCATTGCTGCATGTGAACCGCTGTAATCTCAGCTGCAAAGGAGCTTATTGCCACAGTGCCTGGGGGCCAGCAAGGGGTCTGTCTTGTGAAGTGGCTCCACACAGCTGCCTCGAGGGGTTCCACTGTTCTTTCCCAGTCCTCAAAGAATGTCCCTGATCCACCTGAACGAAAAGGCCAGCTCACACCAAATATGCTTAGTCTCGTTATAAATATAATGAAACTATAAATGTTACAATGCAGATCAAATTAAAGCAACTCATTTTGTGTGACTTTCTGTAGAAGTGTTGGTATGTTTCAGGGTTTTGTTTTTTTACAGAGGTGTATTGGAGGAGGTTGTTGTTTAGTTGGTAAGTGGTACCCAACTCTTTTGTGATCCAATAGACTCTAGCCCACCAGGCTCTTCTGTCCATGGAATTTCCCAGGCAAGAATACTGGAGTGCATTGCCATTTCCTTCTCCTTGGGATCTTTTCGACACAAGGATTGAACCTGTGTTTCCTGCATTGGCAGGCAGATGCTTATTTAACTTACATGCAGAGTACATCATGTGAAATGCTGGACTGGATGAAGCTCAAGCTAGAATCAAGATTGCTAGGAGAAATATCAATAACCTGAGAAATGCAGATGACACCACCCTAATTGCAGAAGGTGAAGAGGGACTGAAAAGCCTCTTGATAAAGGTGAAAGAGGAGAGTGAAAAATCCAGTTTAAAACTCAACATTCAAAAAACTAAGATCATGGCATCCAGTCCTGGGCCTCCCTTTTGGCTCAGCTGGTCAAGAATCCTCCTGCAATGTGGGAGACTTGGGTTTGATCCCTGGGTTGGGAAGATCCCCTGGAGAAGGGAAAGGCTACCCACTCCAATATTCTAACCTAGAGAATTCCATGGACTGTATAGTCCATGTAAGAGTCGACTCACTGGAAAAGACCTTGATGCTGGGAAAGACTGAAGGCAGGAGGAGAGGGGGCAACAGAGTATGAAATAATTGGATGGCATCACTGACTCGATGGACATGAGTTTGAGCAAGCTCTGGGAGATAGTGAAGGACAGGGGAGCCTGGTGTGCTGCAGTCCATGGAGTTGCAAAGAGTCTAACACAACCGAGCAACTGAACAATGACAACCATGTGGAGGAGGAGATGGGAGTAAAACGTTCACTGAAAACCATAGGACCAACCAGATTTGAGGTTGGCTTATCATCAGTGCAGTTAAGCCACTTAAGTGCCTGTAGTCAGATTTTTTTTTTAATACATTCAATTTACCATCCATTATATTCCAGTTATGAGGGTCTTCTTTACTTATTACTGTAAACCAAAACAAAGTTTTTTTTTCCTTTAAGAATATCCTAGCTACATTTCCTTTAAAATGGTAACAGCTATCCATTGATTTCTAATGAAAAAACTTAATAAATTGATTAAATCATTTAATGGTGCAAATTAGGCCAGATCTGGAATCTGCTTAGACAAAGCTGATGCATCCATAATGAATTTCTCTCTGTTAAGTAGCCCATCACAGTTCAGTCAGTGACACCTCTGGGCTGCCACTTCCTCTTTCGTTTTGCTGATTTGCCCCAACCCATTGCCCCATGTCAAGCTCCAGCCCCACACATGCCTAGCTCAGTGCTATAGACATATTCCCATTGCAGGAAAGAGAGCATTGCTAGCCAAACCTCATGACTTTCAAATTTATTAATTCCAAATTAAGTTCAGGTCTTTCTTTAGGAGAACACTTCCTGTTACATAACTAAAGAGGAAATCTTATTCGTGTGCCCAGAATGCCCTCTGCAAACTAGAAATGTAAAACTAAAACTGCACATTCAAAGGATCATGTTGTGAAGGAAACATTTTGGAGTTTTAGATGAAGACTGTCTCCTCCACTGTAAATGACAGTGCCTTCACAATGCAAATATAGATTTACTGGAAAGTAGAGAAGGAAAAGGAATGGCCTTTAGTACTTTCCTTTTGCACCATCCTCTTCCATTTTGGTAAATTTCTCTAGGGTTTTTCTTTATAGTTTAATGTATGCATACATACTGTTTGGCATCTTGCTCTCCCTCTCCCACTTAAAACACACTGTCTCTACAATTGTCTCTAAAGGCCCTCATGTCTCTTATTAGAGTTGAGAATTTCCCTGCTGTTGGCCACCTCGGGTGTCCTGTTCCATCTTGGATAACCTTGAAGCCTTTTGCACAAAGCCCTTTTCATACTTTGGATCATCAGATCAGTTTCCAGTAGTAGGTCATCCACTTCTAGGGACCTTAGTATTTGGCCACT